ATTCTATTCATCAGCAAACTTGTGAGAAACACAGTAAGTCTGTTTCAAATGTGCCTCTATTTATTGTCTCCAGGTAGCATGAAAACTGCAGAACATTGCTTTTCCCCAAAGGAATTTGACCTAAAACATTTTCTCACTCAGTATGTTCTTTGTTATAATAAGTCCTAGTAATGATGGTTTTATGCAGTAACATTAGTGCACTAAGAAAAATATGGCAATGAAAACATTGTGACTGTTTGGCAAGAAGCTGAAATTTAAAGGCTTTTCAATGAATGGATCAGAACCAGCCACAACCCAATACAGCTATGGGTTTGCATAACTACACATAGTAAGGAAGGTGCCAAGTGTTAGAGGTGATCATGTTGCAACTTCAGTAAGACTGTGGGTTTACTGAAGCTGCCATTAACAGGTCAGCGTAAACCACTCCTGAGTATTCATAGCTTTCCTACATGCAATGTACCAATCTCAGCGAGGCCCCCATGGGGGCTTGAAGTCCACCCTTAAGCTCAGTCTCTTCGAGGTATGCAGAAAATATCTTATAGCTCTTAACATGAGCATTTTGGTACACATTTTGCACATTCAGGAAGGTTAGTTCCCTGAGCTAGTACAATATGCCCACTATTTTTTAATTTTTCACTGGTTGTAAGGAGAAAAAAAAAAAAGAGGTTACAATTGTTAGTGACTAGCGCTCCTTCCTGTACCAGAAACAACACCACGTTCTCAGCAACTTCCTCAGGAATTCTCACTCCTCTTTGGCCATTTGTTATCAGTTCTGCCAGTAATGATCATTAGTGCATGGAGCATGATAAACTCATTACCAAAATCTACAAAGCAGAGCAAACCCCTGCATTTCCTGGCATGCGTTCTCATTAAATAAAAGTACGTAGGTTGTCAGTGATTTAGAACAACTGCCTGATAGACCTGGATGAAATATGGAATTTCCATTTACAAGAATAATCAGTAACAATGTAAAAATTATGGAGCCAGACCAAAAGTCACCCTATCCCAGCATCCAGTCAGCAGCAGCAGCAGCAAAAACAGGGCACATGGAGATGACATCTAGACAGGAGCATTTAAAAGTACTTAAGCATGTATGTTCCAGTAATTTGCCTAAATTCATTTGAATCTCTTCATACTTTTGGCTTCCTCATCTCCCAGTAGTGAAAGTTACTTATGCTGTAATAAAAAAAAAAAAAAAAGTGGTTTGTTTTAAAATCAAAGCCTGAGCATTTCCATGACAATACCCAAGGTTTTGGACCCTGAGAAATAATATATAATCATTCCTTATTCAACATTTTCACGGATGCCTAAATATTTATCACACCTTAGTTAGCCCTCTTTAATGCCAAAAAGGAAAGATTCCAACTGTCCACATAGAAGCTAGTCCACATTAAAGGGAAATTTTGTCTTCCAGTGTCTTCTAGTTCTAATGTGTTTTTACTGACCTGGGGAAATAAGGCTAGATGCTAGATAAAGACATGAGAAGACCATATGTTAATACAAACACTTTACCATGTTTTTATTTAGTCCTCATTTCTTATCACCGTAATGCCCAATACTTTTTTTCTTTTTTGTCTATCATAGAAAATTGAACTGATATATTCAGATAATTAAAGCAGCAGGAATAGTGCCGGAATCTCTCTCCTTTTTTATAATAGTCTATTTAAAGCCCATCATTATGTAAGTACAGCTGAGACTGTGTTTTCATCATGTATAATAATCTACATTATTAACAATTTTATTAACATTTTATTAGCCAGTCACTCTAAGGCAGAATTAATTTCACCACTTGATGTTTACTGTGCAAAGCCTCCATAAAAGTAAGTTATTCAGATTTCCTTTTTATATAGGGGAGATAAGTAAGCATTTCAGGAGACGATTTCTCTCATTCTAAGCTAAACATTCAAAATAAGTCAAATAAATCATAAACTTTTCCTCTTTTTTTGAGCATAAAGGAAGCCTAGATGCAAATATTTCCACAGAAAATAAATAAAAATAGATAGATCATTACCCTGAAAATAGCAAACATTTAAGAAGTAAGTCTTAGCTAGTAGCTTTCTTTACGGTAATAATTACAAAAAAAAAAAAAAAATAGGCACTGTCCATAGCAATTCTCCTCCCCTTTCTTGACATTAATTTTCATGTGAAATGACTCTCTTTTAGAGAAGCTTCTCTCCTTTCACTGAACACAGAGAGAGCAGAGGACTGGACTTGGCATAATTTATAGAAGGCTAAACTTAGATGAGATTACTCCATTATTAGCACAACGAGATCCTTATGAACTGCTAGAATTCAGTCACAGATTTAAGAAGGTGCTAACAGGTCTGCAGTATTCTGAACCACACCAACTACCACAGCTAGCACTCCCGAGTTACGTGGCATGGTCACAACTGCATGCCATCTTCCGTCTGTTATAAACATGGGAAGCATATGCACACAGATGTGACTTCTCGGAGGAAGTCTGTAAGCTTTGTGGTCTCATTATCCTGCACTCCTTCTAGTTCACTTCTGGATAAGTTGAACTGCACAGGGCTCCATACAGTGGCACGTATCCTTCTATTAATCAACCTCACCACTTAGTCCACATCCACTGCTCTGCTTTTTAACTTGTATTAATGCTTCCCCACCATATAAAATAAGGAATTATTATTTTCTTCTTATTATATCCTGAAGTGAAAGCTTCAATAAACACTGGAATTATTCATGGAACAGAAAACATTACAGAGAATATTTTTGATTGAAAGAAGTATTTCAAAATTCGTTAATCAAAATGCCAGTCTTTGTTGAACCAAATGTAAATGCTTTGGTTTGGCTTCAGTGGACTAACTTCTGCATCTTACACAATGTTGTTGTAATTATAACTACGGTTCAAGACACTCCCATCCTTAGTGTTCAACTTGCTTACAAGAAATGCCAATTATTTATGGAAGAGTTATTTACAAAGGGACCCCAGTGAGGCAACACTGTGGGCACATAACGAAGCACTGACCAAAACAGAAGCATTTCAACATTATTTGAGAAATTAAGATACGTCAACTTCTCAACGAAAATTAATTAATCTAGCATGCTCAATAGAATATGCACACAAAAATCAGGACAATTGAAACCACCATTAAATTTTCTTTTTATAAATAAAACAAAACACTAACTTTATCTTAAAAAAAATGACCAAAAAAAAAAAAGAATAATTCCAGGGAGATGTATTACTGGATAAATTTCCATTACCTAAACGAACTCTTATTTGTCTCTAACTATTCATCCAGTACTATGCCAGTTATGTAAATAATTACTTACAATGCTTCTAACACTCACTAAATGGTACATATTTCTTGATGATATGAGCAATGAGTTATTTGTCTTGATATTTGTAATATCCTAAGAGAAGCATTATGACATAGCCATTCAAATCTATTGCTGAAAATTACATAAACAAAATTTAGTTTGCACTTCTAACAAATATTATGCAGAGGTCTGGAAACACACTCCACTGTATCTAGTGACAGATAAAAAATCCTTTTTCTTATAAACAAAACATAGGTATCAATGCAATGTATTACACAGTACCAAGTTAAAATGAACTTGTGTGATAAAGTCATGAATCTTCCTCAAAACAGAGCTACATTTTATAAACAATTTTAACACTGTGGACCAGAACTGTAAAAATATTTAGATACCTAAAAATGCAAGGAGGCACCACAAGGAATTTTCATGTTCCTTTTAGTCACTTAGGTCCTCCCAAAGACAAACAAAGATGATTGATTAGCTTGTCATAATCCATCTGTCCAGAATGGAAAGGTGATGAAAAATATAACCTCTGTGCTTATATTATTATAGCATGTTTACCATTTTACAGAAAGCAAAGCAATGCAATCAAGAGCAACTAGGAACATTGCTGCTTTTGGTGATCCTACCAAATATACCATTCTTGCTCAAATACCTTTACTTATCTGGACCTTTCTGCTGCTAACTAGATCATAAAAACAAGAATAAATGACATATGCTATAAAATTATCATATAATTTCTGTTAAGAGTGCAAAAGTGGAGTCATGCCTATGGCCTGTAGTGTTACTGTAAGCGAAATGAAGACATGACAACAAAACAGCAAAAAAATCCAACCTGCAAATGCTTGTAGGAATCTCAGTAGGTGAGCAACATAATGCATATCACAAATTTGGACTAAGTTGCTATTTACTTTCAAGACAATGCAGAGATGCAGAGAAATAAAAGATTACATAAACAAACCCCATGCTGCTTTCAAGTGCAGCTGCTCTCTTCACGTCAGTTATTACTGCAAGTTGTCAGGAAACAGTTCTTTTCACTTGTAGATAACTCTAGGAGATTTTTACAAAAGTGAAATTTGACAAAATGAAGAAAGCATTTTTATTCTGACCCACTCTGCTATTCACAGTACCACTGAAATACATTTAATCTGTATCAAAGCAATGAACTGCAACTGTGCTTTGGGAAACCTCAATGAGTTTTTAAAAGAGCCTATACTGACTACTCCTTAGAGCTCTCCATATTTATTGCACTCATAAACTGTCATACATTACTTATAACCACCTAAAAATTAGCTGTCCAATCCTTTCTTTATCATCATCATTGATGGAGAGATTGGGCATTACAAGCAAGTTATTCATCTCTACCTAAGACAGATACCTAAATAAATAACCCTCTAAAACAGTCTTGTTTTCAACTGTCAAGACTGGGAGTATAGGCAACTACCTGAGACATGATGCATAATGTTAGATTAAGTCCTTCGTATCAGGTATGGTGGAGTGATCACTGCCATTTTAACAGCATTTATATATATATACATATAAAAATAAGTGTCTTGTGTAAAAAAAAAAATAAATCTGCATTACTCCCCTATATTTATCAGAGTAAACATCATGATAGATCAAAAAGGCCAGACAGTTAAGTACATTATGGCTGCTTTCTCACTTTGCACAGAGTGTTTACTTTGCAATTAATAAAACAGGGATACAAAGACACTCACAGATTGATAGATCTTGATAAGATGACAGACACAGTCAGAAGGATGCACCCACAGGGACCAGTTTCAAACTGAAAAAGAAAAAGATGAGTTTTATTTTGTTTGTTTTGTACATTTTTTGCCATATTCTAAAGAAATGCAAATCAAACTGAAAGCAGAAAGAATTGTTCTCATTTATCTAAAATTGAATTTGCTCTTCTGCTTGTTAAAATGCATGTCCATATAGTGTTTGAAACAAAGTTCAGGAGATATGAGACTGACAAGTACAGAAAGACTGGCAGTTGAACTATAACAGGTTTAGTGTCTTCTCTATACACAGTACCTGGTGAATATTCTGCTGAAGAAAAACAACCAGATCTTCATATCTTGTGGCACTATGTAGTATTAGCTGGGAAAGAAAAAAAAAAAAAAAAGTAACTGAAACAATTACAACTCACTTTTATAACCTGAAAGCTGAACTACAGTAGACAAAGCTTTAAATCTGAATGGAAAGATTTGAGCTAACAAAATGGAGTAAAGATCTAACAAAATCTACCTTTTCCCGGCGTCATCTTGTATAATACTGTATCGCAGCACTTCGTATGTTCTGAATTTTTATACTGCTTCTTGTTGTTTTTAAGTTTTTTAAACAGGCAGTTTGATTCAACTTTAAGCATTGTTTATGCAATGAAAAACGATTCCTAGAACATGCAGCTTTAGAAGACAGAATGGGCAAGTAGCTCAGGAGTTGGTACCTATGTGATGAGCCGTTTAAAGCAGGCATGTATCAGAACACATCATACTCAGAGAATACTCCCATGAATACTCCTATTTAACATGAAGTTCAGGACAGTTCATAGATCTAGGCCCTTACTTCAACATTCTTTATCTATTTTTCCATCTTCAGATTTGGACAGAAATTATGGTCTTGCAGATACAGTATGCAGAAAGATTGAGCAATCTGGATTATAATGCTTTCCATCACATTTTCACTGTGGCTATGTCCACATGGCCTTTGATAAGAAGGACTTAGAGACAGCATAATGGTGTTAGTTGCTCTCCAAAATAGCCAGCAGCATGGAATTATGTTAACATATTAATTAAATAATTTATCTTGCCTCTTGGAAGAGCATTTTATAGCCAAGGATTTCTGCTGCATTCACCCTACTTATAAAAGACTTCACTTCCAACTGTTCCAAAACTGCCCGGTTCTGACAATCTGTTGACACATTCATTCCTACATTTAGGAGGCCAGTAATACTTTCTTAAACCACTAAAGCCTGGCTTTTGGCATCACCGTTTGCAACGCCATTTGAGAGCTTCAGATGGAAACAAGGCATAACTGGAGAGCGTTTTGCCATTTGGAGCTTCTGGAATTAAAAAAAAAAAAAAAAAAATGCAAAGGAGAATATACTGCCTTTTGATGCTCATGGCCATGGTGGTGAACTTGATCCACGTTCACTTTTACTGCATATCAATAAAAGTAGGCAAGCTTATAAGCTTGAAAGATATAGGGTACAAAAAGGACTTCAGGGAGTCCAAACACAGACACTGGGACAATTCAGAGCCAGACAGACTACAGGATTTTGCTATCTCCTATTGGGTTTTGGATCTCAACTAATTTGACATAAAAGATTTTAAAACACTAAAAGAGCAATGGAAATAAGATTCATTGCACTAAAATAACAGAAGGTAGAAAGAGGATATGGAGAATGTTACTCTGAATAACACAGAGCCTTACAGTTTCTAAGATTCCATCTGCCTTGTATTTTCCTATGGGAATGAACTGCTGTCTTCCTGATGGCCTGAAGAGGATATTCAGACAAAACCAAAGTTCATATTAAAAGGAACAAAATGGTATTAAAGAGAAATCAACATATTATTATATGAACTGAAAAATGAGCCAAAGATTTTGTATTATCATTTTTAACCACTTTTTTAAAAAAGAACCTCTTACATAAGTTCATATTATATATTAAACAAACGTTTATCAATTAAGCATATTCTTTAGCAGTGCTGAGCTCTCTCAGTCTGTTTAATATGTTTATACAGAAAGACTAGAAATATACATTTAAGATCTTAATGTGTTTTTATTGGAAACAAATATTACAGCAGTGACATTAAAACAAGCACAAGAACATATGTACAATATCATCACAGAGGAAATATTTTATAAATGTGAAATATACAAAATATCATTTGAAATGTCTTTGAACTTGATGCTTCTATTTCAGGTTTGAAGAAGAAATTCTGTGCTTAAAAGCCTCTCTGTTATTTTACGGCTATCTTAGTTGATTTAATAGAAGAAATCACCTCGTTTCACAAAACCTGTCTCACTTAAAAATACTGTGCAGGATCCAGTACAGCCGAAGCCAGCAATCTAAAAGTTAGACGTCTTGTGTACAAGGAACGGAATTGCATAGCATAAACTAAGTTACCAGTAGGCATCTATAGCATAATGAAATTAATTCCACCCATAATAGAATATCCTGCAATACAAAACTGTTGGGAGCAAAATGCTGCATCTGGAAAAATCAGGTAAAGATGTGGAGGAATCCTAAGCATCAATGAAATCCACAGGATCTTTCACAGCAATTATAAAGAATTTGACTATTCTGTTCCAGTTACTGGGACAGCAGAAATGACATTTTGCATTTCTCCCTAACCATTTTAGACAGCATAAATACACCTGACAAAACTTTCATTTTATAAACTGTGTACATATGTAACAGACACAAGTATAGGAGCATTATTCAATAATTAAAACTGCTTTCCCTACTTACAGTGCTACAATTGCTTTTTCATTGCCTCCTGCACGCCACAATATGTCTGCAATTGCCATGGTAAGGCATTTGGTCCTGTGAACTTCTGATGGTTGAAGACAACTATAGTCCAGAAAATACAAGAGACAGTCAAGTACCAAAATGTGTGTTGGAAAGCTTACTCAGTAGAGGGCAAACTACCCCAATTTCAGTATACACAGATTCATAGTATACTTGTCGTTAAAAGAAGAAAAGCATTATTTCAGAGACTAGGTGTTGTAATGCCTAATCATGAGGTTCCAGCAAGTACCCCCAGAAAACAACAGTTTAGGTATCTCAGTTCCTTCTATAGTCAAGAAAGAGACAACTGGGATGGCCCACTCAAAAAAAAACCCTGTGTGTTGAACAGTCACATAAACAAGTCACATAATGGAAAACTGGAAGATTTAAGAATAAAACCCAACATCCATGAGCCTGAAGAAATGAACAACAGATCTATGCCCCTGGGAGACACAGAACTGGAATGTTCTCTAGGGGCTTCAAGAATGGCAGTCTTTGAAATTCAGATAATATCAGTCTTAGAGCGCTACCAGCCTGGGAGATTATGTCAAAACCTGTTCCCAGCATTTGAGTAAAAGATCTAATAATCTGCAAGACTAAACAAGGAACACCAAACATCAAAATATTAAACAGACTTTCAAGTTCAATGTCTGCCTTGAATATAATGTTCATTTAGAGAATGTTTCCTTCTGAAGGGTGTGAGATATGGGAAATAACTGGTGAGAGTTTTCAAGTACAAAAAATAAAATCACAACGTTCTCTAATTTCTGCCTGTGTTCTAATGCAGACACTCAGAAATTTATGGGAAGCATAGCAACTAATTTATGTGTCTGAGAGACGCAGCAGAGTACGGAAACATGATAATTGTCTCTTGACTGTTGAAGAAGCCTGAAGTCAAACACTTACTGTGAAGTTGTTCATAATTTGAAAATTCAGGTAAGAATTAGAAAGGAATATTAATCCTCTCATTTCAAGCTCTGAGACTTCTCTTTCTGCCTGCCTAAGTTTCTGCCTATGGCAAACATAAGAAAAATGTTTATCTCACGAATAAAGCAAAATCTTTTAAAACTGTGTATATAATAGCAGGGGGAAAATAGGAGAGGCAAATATTGCCATGTAAACAGGATCAGTTGTAGCTGGCAGGAGCTGGGACACTTATAGTTTAAACAATCAGGCCTCAATCAACTTATCTGGGTGCCACATAATTTTATGACATTTACGATCACTGAATAATGTTGAAAGAGGAAAAGGTTAACATCTCTATTTTTACTAAGGATGACCTGAGACTCAAAGGGACCAAGGAGTAGATGATCAAAGCTGTTCTCCATGCTGAAACAAATTCTTGGTTTTCACACCAGAAATAATTCTTTGGTGAATTCTGTGGAGATTCCTTAGCATTAAAATCTAAACGTGCTGATTTTCTTGCATGGAAGTTTCTGAATTTTTCTTTTATGTGGACATGAGCCTCAATCTGCCTTGAAGTCCACTCCCATTGTAATCTGTATTAGACTAATAAAATTTTGCCAGCTAATTTTTTCACTTTAAAAAAGTGTGCTCTCATCAGCAGGCTCTTCATATGAATTATGGACAGATGTGATGTACTGAAAGAATTGAACAGAAGAAAAAACTGAACTGCTTAACATTGTAGAATTAACTTCACATTACTCTCTGCACAGGTGTTATACCACTAACCCTATCTCTTTGTCAGCCTATGATAACTGCCTTTAGGTGACTTCAAGGAACAGGCAATTTTCAAGTAATGAATTCATAGCATCTTATTTAGCCTGTGTCTTGGGGTCCACAAGCCATCAGTGAAACTAATAACTAGCCAACAGCAGTAACATTAAAACTTTCAGTATTTATTTAATAGACTCTAAGCCTGGTTTTAAACATTCCTAACGGCTTATTAGCTGTCTTGTACCAGAACTGCCTACCCACCAGCATTCCTGGACCTGGACACATGTGTAGATCCTATAGGGCCTGATAATCCTTTGGTTAATTGTCACTTCCCATCCTGGGTGTTGAAGGCAAATAATGAAGTTCTACAGGTGCCTGTTTCTTTCCATTATTGATGAAGAAGCTCAAACAATTAATAAACATTAAGTGCCAGTCAGACAAAACTAAGGAAAATCAACAAAGACCCTGTCACTGTCCTAAACAGTTCCAAGAAGGAAAGTGTATACTTAAGGTGAGTTTTTACACATGATGAACATTTTTACATTGCAAGATAATGAAGTTCAAGAACAATCTCAGCCTGAAAGCTTTTCTTCTGACTAAACTGGTGTCAGTGTATTATCCACAAATAATACAAGGTGGTGGCCGCATAAACCAGTAAAATACTGTTATGCCTGTACAACAAACTGTGCCTGTAAGCACAGGAAAGCTTAGAGAAATTTTTTTGTTTCGTAATGGACTTAATTTCTTACTGAGAACAAAAGGTGAATACAAGAAATCTGGTAATAAAAGTAAACTTTTTAGACATTATTTTCTAGCATTTGATTGAATGACCCCTGCTCCTTTAGCAAAGTGACAAGTACATTAATGTTATATCAGTCCAAGCAATTTTCCCTGGTACCAGCAATAGTTAATGATGTTTCTTTAAGTAAGTAGAAAATATACACACAGAATTTAAATTCAAATTCTATTCTGGAGTTCAACTATGAAAGATTGAACACAGTAGCAAGAAAAAAAATTATAGCTGTAAGTTTAATTTTTCACCCTCCTTGAGATTCTGAGTGTCAAAACCTGCATAAATTTCATGGTCTTTGAAACCCTCAACAGATTTTCTTTGAAATTACATCTCCATGAGATCTCAAGGTTAAATAATTTTCATTGGCCTCAATTCAAGCTGTTGGATTTTTTAAGAGGTTCTTGGGTTAATCACAAGCAAGTAATTATACAAATAAAACATCAACCTCTAAATTACTGCAGTTGAAAGGGAAGTAAATAAAAGAAAATCATATGCTACTTTCTCTCTCAAAGAGAAGTTCAACAAGTTCAAACTCAAAAGGCTCCTGAATGGCTGCAGCAGAGAAAAATAAATTTCTACTTATGTATGGAAAATATTTCTGTTGTCAGTTGCTGACTTACCGAATGTCTTTATTCCTATTACTGTCTGCAAAAATAAGCCGTTGTAGGACACAAGCTTGAACTGCAGCCAGTACTCCACATGGGCCACCCTGAGGGGAATAATGGACACTCCATGAGCAAAACAATTTGTGCTTTTTGATGCTGGTGAAAACTTTTGCAATCCATGTCCTTCCATTCAGGCTTAAGCTATTCTTTCATCTGTCTTTTCATCCATGACTTTGTCATGCCCTCTCTTACTCTATTACATTTTTTTTGCAAGCCAATGAAAATCAGTGTTACTAACTGGTATTGATTTTTTCCACCTATTTTTTTCCTGAAAATGCCTAGACATCTATAACATCAAAGAAAAGTCTTTTAAAAATCTGTTCTGTGATTATGCAAACAAATGAAAGATCTCCTGATCCCTATTGAGCCACAGCTTACATTAACATCCCCAAGAGAAATCAAACCTGTTTTCCAAATGGTGAAAATATGCCTTGCCCTTTTACCTCCTCTGAGCATTGTGCCTCCTCTCAAGTTCCCACTTAAATCACTAACCAAAGATTTTGGTGTTTTGTATAGCTCTTTGCACTAGCCATCTACCTCACTGGGGAAAAACAACAATGATAAGAAAGTATGGACCAGCCAGCAAGTTTTCTGGAGAGTCTGTGGTTTGATTTTATTTCTCAGGTTGTCCTAGGTAGAGCATCAGACCTGCAATGGGACCTGCAGATACAGGCAGTATGCACAGTATGCAACCCAGAAAATAGATGTCCTATAATCACAAAATAGGTATTGATACCTGCCAATTTGTCATTTATATTACACACACTCTAACTCTATAATTACTTATATAACTAAAGAGTGAATCATCTGAAATACATTAAGGAAAAAAGCAAGGATTATTTCAGTCCACTAGGGAAAGCCTCTCAGTCAAAAAAGAGGAACCATTCTAAACATCTTCTTATAGCACCACAGTAACTTAATGCAGAAGAGAATCAAACAATTGTTCAACTGAAATTAATTTAAAAGTGAAGAGGAATATATTAACTATATGAAATAAACACATCTGAGCAAAACATGCTGATTTACTATTCTTCTTGTGGAATTTATAGTAGGGAACTTAATGGCCAGTGAGTAACATTTACTATGGACCACTGAACATTACTGTCATGGTTCCTTTCTAACGCTGTTTTTTTACCACTAGGTAGATAATGCCTAGAACTGATGAAAACCTTATTTTATGGAGGAGCTGGCATCTTGTGGCTGCAGTCCAGAATTACAGAAACATGGCTGCAAAAGAGGTGGTCCTACCAGCAGTTCCAGTGTACTGGTCCCAGTGACACTGCAGGGGCATTTGTTCCCTTTCACGTTAGGAATGATGCGGCCCCCATCATGTGACCCCCATCATTTGACCCCTACATCTTTAAGAAGCAAAAATATCATTGTGATTTCCCAGGAACTGCAGGCAATTCTCACTATGTCCCCCATTCTGAGACAGATCAAGCTCCATCTTAAGCTTGTTAAACATTACCCCCATGTACACTTTTTCTCTTAAACTCGACTCTTGATTTACACCCTTTTATTCTTTTACCACCACTAGCTTTCAGCTGAAGTGGCTTGTCTTTCTCCCTACAAATAACTCCTTGTCACACACACACACACACACATGCACACTTTCTGCAGTTAATTTAAGATTCCCTCAGAAATATTCCATCCATCTCAAGTCTCCCAACAGGACTTGACAAGGTGACATCATCCAGTGATAACCAGAGAAGTCAAAGAAAGAGAAGAGTCTTTAGAAGACCTTTATTTTTTATTTTTTTTTTAAACTGCTGAAACACACAGCCTTTGTAAACTCAGTGTGAAAAGCAAAGATCACTTTAAGGAAGTAATTTACAGTACCTTTTTTTGCACAATGCCATATTTTAACTGTGGTATGTTATTAAATGTAAAATTCTGTATTTTCCATTCTTCACTGAAGCAACAAAGACTAGAGCCAAACAAAAGATTTTTTAACTCCTAAAACAAAAAAAAAGAAAGAAACAAGAAAAAAGTTCTTATTTTTAATAAAATCCAAATCACAGGTATGTTTTCTTACAGAAATTTGTAGAAAGGAAAGGAGGGGTGTGGAAGGTTAATGACTAACTCACTATAACCACCCTTTTCTGTTTCATACATACCGTAAATAGTAACACTCAAATGAAAAGGAGCAATTTTTTCCTTTTCCTGCAATATTCCTTCAACTCATAATGCTGTGTGCTGCTCAGCATAGGAAATTCTTTATGCAGATTGTCTGGGGTACAGTTTCACATGGAAGCATTACAGAATATTCCCTTAAATTTAACAGCTAGTAAAGCCACCCCTCCTAATGGTTGCCTTAGGGAAAACAAAGGACCCTACTGGACACAACATGGAGAAAAGGCATCCTGTTTTGCCTGTTAAAGTTGTTGGTATAAGATAAATGTTACTCAAACGTTTGACTGCTGTAGTCGGATGGCACATCAGCATATGCCAAATCAAGATCTTGGCCTGAAAACCTGCAGACCACTACTACTGAGGAATAGCTAAACGGAATAAATTGCATTAATGCTAAAGTAAAGCAGAGTACATAAGCACAGGCTATTCAGTGTTTGTACAGTTACTCGGGCTTCTTTGATCTAGCAAAGAAATTGGAAGGCACCCTCCTTATTTTTAATCTGAGGGTTTTTTTCTCTCCTCTGTCTGAACTGGAAGGAAAATATTAAAAGTAATAATGGTTCCATCTCTGCTCAAAATAAGAAAGATAAGCAAGGGAGAAACAGTGATAGGGGAATAACAAACTACTTCTGAACCACTGTCAATTAAAAGGACTGGATGATAAGCACATAAATATCTGATTACAGGCACTAATAAGACAATGCAAGCTTCTTTAATTAAAGCTATTATCTGTACTTCAAGTGGGCTGATGCATTCTGGCATGCTCTTCTGGTATTTTTCTGAATTTTAAATGTCACCCCTCCATTATTTTTAGTACTGAATGCCAAATAAGGAGTATATTCAGGAATGAATACAGCACATGTTAAATCACACACGAACATGCAGCACAGAGTAATCTGTTGCAGGTTTGACTAACTCGGCTGAAATAACATTCTCACACATCTATTTGTATTTACAATCATTGTTAGTCTTACTTTTGCAAGAGAAATATCAATTGCCTTTGATACTACTTGGAGCATATACAGTGTCGAAAGATCCGGGTTTTTAATAACTTCTCCAGTTGTTTCTTCAGCCTCAACATCAACTGAAAGAAAAAAAAATCATATAATGTGTTGGATGAGAAAAATCACTTCCATCAGCAAGCTCAGTGCCAGGGGGTCACGAATATGAGAATTAACACTTTCATGTGTTTCTCTTAATCAACTAAAAGTTACAAAAGAAGCGACTCATATGTATTTGGCTACAGCTGTTCTGAGGAATAAGATGGTAAAAGCCAAACTGAAGCCTGGCATAACTTACCTAATTCTAGGACATCTTTCATCTGGTCTTCTTTACAGCAAGTAGATGTTGGAGACCTCCTACAGGAAAATTAATCAAAAATGACTGACTAAATGTTCACTTTTAATGAGGAAAAGCTGTTTGAATAAACAAGAAGAAACATGGAGTATGCCCAAGTAAAGATATTTTATTCATTTATGTGATTTTCGTATATGTCAGGTCCTGCAGGCTCATACACAGAGGCAGATTTTAGACTGCCCTGCATTTTAAGTAAGGATATTCACATATATTTGACTGCCTCTCAGTTTGAAGAATCAGGAAATAAAATAAAATTTACATCCCCGAGGGTGAATCGGGATGAGATTCAAATTAGTCATTAAACTTACTGAAATATCCAAATAATATAAGTGGGAATAGGTGTTAGACTGAAGTCCTTTACCAAGGCCCTTTTCTAATTCACTTATATGTAGTGGTTATTCACAACTGCCCTTGTGATTTAATTATACATATTACATAAACAACAGGTTAAAAAATCAGATAAACAACTACTAAAAGGACTAAGCATTTCTTGGCTGTGAAGTCAGAATTTAAATAGAATGCTAGGTTTTCAGAGATGAGGTGGGTTTATTCTTCCTGTTAAATTTGTACTAAAATGAATTCATAACCAAGTTAAAGTTTCAAATAACTACTGCAAAAAAAAAATGGCCATCTTTTTTTTTTTTTCTTTTTCTTTTGAAAGAGCAATACTGCATCATTGGTTTTTGCTTTGGGAAAAAAGGTATTACACTGACAGTCTTTCAAAAGTAGTATGTAATAATTTCCTCAGCAACATTCTTTGTATGCATGATATTATATTATTATAGCAACAACTACTGTCATATCACATATTTTCCATTAACTTAATTTCCTTTTTCAGTGTGCGAAAGATTAATAAAACCAGAATACAGACATATCACACTCAGGACTTCCCCAGTCTAGAAGCATTCTGGCACCTTTCTCAGTGATAGTCTTTGATACTATGAGAAAAGAAACACTTTTTCTCTATAAAGGATTTATGCAACGAAATGTGGATGGCCACAATTCAGAAAAGATAGAATGGAAATGAATCATCCACATTAATAGGGTGGTAAAAATAAGTAGGAAGTCCAGCAGGTCACTATAAATAAGAGGACCGAGAGCAAATTTGTATAGTGGCACAAGCAGTATTGAGCTCTCAGTGAATATAACAGTACTTTTAAAGTGATACAGAGTTTAATATAGCTGACTGTGTTATAGTTTAAAATACAATCTATTCTCCCCTTGCTTTTTGCTAATATTGAATTTCAGCTGAGATTTCTTTCTGCTAGCTACTTGCTAGTATATTCATCTCTCCCAGTGATTTGCCAGTAAAATGTTTTTCAGGACAATACTCATGTCATTTAACTGCTCTTAGACATAACGACAGTCCACATTTTTGTTTAGTCTGAGATCACACACTATTGTTTCTTGTTTCCTAGAGAATATGGTTTCTTCCTAGGTCAACCCATTTTAATGTAGTTTGAGAAGAACAGAACTCCTAACACTTAAGAAAGCAGCACTACAGGTTACAGGATCCTATGTGGACTCAGTTGCAGCTTTGGATGGCTTGGGTCTTCTATAGGTACCATATCGTATCTTCTACCTTCATTAGATATCTTGGTTACCTTACAGTCTCAAATAGCACTATATGCCTATGTTTAGCCATGTAGATCACTCCCTACAAGCACCCTTGATTCACTGTTGTCCCAAACACTTCTCCTCAGTATAGATTACCTGAAAATATCTATAAATGAAAATAAAAACTACAGTACAATTCATATATAGCTCACCTGGCACCAGTTTTTGTAATATTATTGCTTTCTGGAAAGTCTAAATGATTTTGGTTCTACACCCGTTCCAGGAAGGACCAAGCCCAGGATGCAAAATGCTCTGAATTCTCAAGGCTGAGAATTCCCATCAAGCTGAGGAAAGAGCTGACACTGAAGATTGATGTAGGGTGCTTTCTGGTTAAGTGGGTATTTTTGCAGGTGTAGGTTCCCTCCTTAAGGGGAACTCATGTTTCTCAAAACACTGTCGGAACATTTATTGCAATTTCCATTTCAGCATATGGTTACTGTTCCAGGAAAATTTATTGTACACATAAAACCACACAGTTAGAATATTTAGGAAGGGGGAAGCCATCCCTCATGGCAGAAAAATGGGACAGGAAAAAAATATGTTTCATTATAAACATACTATACAGTACTTTCTCCAAATATTTGAACATTCCTATCTGGTCTTCATGCATTGCAGAATATTGAATTTATGCAGAATAGCTGAACTCACAGAGAAAGCACTTCTTGGAACAATAATGCATGTATACTCCTCAATTTCCTATTTATACTGCCGTACGCAGGAGGTCAAATAAGCAAAGTGGCTTAAAAAATAAACACTGATCATCAGTGGCTTTGGCTGTTGGTAAAACTTATTTTCACTGCCTGATTACAAAAGCTTTTCTACTGGACATACGTCTTTTCTGCATAATAATTTTAGGGTCAGAAGGATGCCTAGAAATCACAATGAAATCATCCAGTCTCATGCTGTTATGCCATACACATATATGACATTCTTGGTGTATGAGTAAGATCTGCAGAGTAGGTAAGAAAACGATTAGATTCTGTTACTACTTGCAAAGGGGTAAACAAGGCTATTATACTCACTGCAGGTTGACACTGCTCTAGGGCAAGATTATAAAAACAGAATTATTAAAAGCAATTGTAAAGAAGCAATGGAAATAATCAATAGGAGGCAACATATTTCTGTGGGAGAAAGACCTTGTCAAGAAGATTTAATATAAATTCTGCCGTGCTCACAGGTCTGGCTGACAAAGGTTACAGAGCTCACACATTTAATTACTCCAAACTGCCCTATTAGTTAAGACCTGCATGTGACCCAACTGGCACATTATCAGTATGAAAAATTAACTCATTAAAAGATGGCTCATTGACAGATATGAAAAAGGTAAATGAAAAACCTGCCATTGAAAGAGGCACTTCTAATAAGCTCACTTACGAATCTGCATTTGTCCTGCTGAATTTTCTTAGTTGTCACTGTCGTGAAAACTCACGAAAACTACATCTTTGCTGAGAAAGTTTGTATATGAGAAAAATATGATGATAATCACAGGTTGAGCTACAAGATGGTTTGAATGGCATGATGAATTTGGCTCACCTGAACAGAATGCTCTCTCCTAGGCAGTGAATGAATATTTATCTTCCAGCTACAAAACCAGACCCACTTTAATAAAAGTGTAGCTTTTTCATTCATACTCTTGTCTACCAGATTTTTTGGTGTAAAATCCCCACACTGGAATTTTCAAGAAATACAGTACCCACTCTTGTGAACTGACCATTCACCAATTCAAAACAGTTGACAGCAACATAAACAAGCATCAGTACAATAAAACAGGGAGCTAAGATTCCATTAAAGATGATTACAAGATACCAGCTAAGAGACACTACGTAAGGCATTGAGAAGGGTTCCCAGATTTCAATATTTTATCAGTTCATATTAGATGAGGTGTTTTGTCATACATGAAGTACCCACTCTGTCTGATTTTGGGCTTCAACTTTCAGGCCATTTATTTTTGAGGATGTGAACTTTTTGTGGCCTTACATTTCCTGTCAGAAACCTCAGATTTTTAATATTTCAAACCACTGTAACCTGACACATTTTAGCAAAATAAATTCTCTTCCTCAAAGTTAATATCAAGTGTTAAATTGGAAGAAGACAAAAGCTTACACTGAGGAGCAGGATAGTTCTCTTATCTCATTTTATCGTACAAAAAAAGATTAATACGGGTAACAGCCTATTGGTGAGCACATGTACTGTAGAGAGAGGTTTTACGTCCTCGTAAAGTAATCTTAGGGAGAGTAACACACTAGGGGACAATATTTCCTTGTGCTACCTGCAAACAACTGATTGCTTTTTAAGTGGGAGGTAATTTCTTATGCTGCTTCCTACCATACTCTCTCTAATGCTAGTATGTAGACACAGTGAAAGGAAATGGTGTGAAGCTCTACCATCGAAACAGGATGTGCACTGTCTGTTCTTGCTTTACATTTGAGAAGATCTAGAGCCCCTCTATGTTTGCATGAACAAGGCAAATTCTCAGTTGACTGAATGCATTTTAGGCAATGGGCTGGACGTCTCCAGTTTTACATCCTTTCCAAAAATAAAGGATGCCATTTGTCATTTCCAGTAATTGCAAAGTGCCTCTTCCTATGGGGTGCTGGAAAAATACTAAAAGGGCAAATGGCAGCACACACAGATGTTATGTTGAACGCTATGATGCCATAAATCCATTGGCACAAAACAAAAGTCACAATAGTTTAGTTTATTACTTTTATTTTAGATTCTTTTTTCCGGTCCAAGTATTATATTATAAAAGTTGTTATGCAACTCTAGATACTTAAAGGTTTTCACTACTGTATGATTTAGCAACTTCAAACTCTCTCTCTCTTTGCACATGGGCTAGTTAAATCCATATTTCCCAAAGATAATCCCATTTTGTTTGACAGCTGTTCTTCTGACTGACAACTGCAAGAGTCAAATAAAGACTTACTCCCCAGCTGGCAGCTGAGCACAACCCAGGAGGGTTTGGGTAGTCTCTCAGGGAAGGTGCCGACTGCGCTGTTCTTACTGGGCTTCCTGCCTATAAAGCCACACCACAGCATTGACAAAAGCTTGAGATGACGCCATGTGCCTCTTCATGTGGCTAAGGACAATGCCTGGTGCTACGCACAGATCACAAACAGAAAAAGATGGAAGGAAACATGCAAAGGTAATTTACTACTAGGCTGCTCCAACTCTGCATTCCTTTCCATTCTTTTATCTGAAATGTTGCACTCTGACTAAACTCCTATTTCCTAGAAATGCCACTATTGCCCAATACATCCTCTTCCTCTCATAGTGGGAAAAATGTAATGAATTCCTCAGACATTGCTCATACACACTGCATGTCACTGAGCGTGCCTGCATATACTGAAATCAGTTGGGGTTTTCTGACTGATTTTAAACAGGC